CTTAATAACATGAAAATATATTCTATTTAGGAAACAAGGTGATTATATGCAAACCCAATGCATTCAATGTTTGCAATTCTATAAAGCAAAACCATTCCTTCAGTGTATAGGTCCTAAAACAATTTAAAAAAAAAAAAAAAAAAAAACATGCCATTTGTTTTTCCTGCCTGTAATGCCAGGGAATGGCTCTGCTTAACCCCTTCAGTTTTTTTAGTCCTGAAGGCAAAGACATATTTTCAAAAATATGAGCAAAGGATTTTTATCACAAGAAGTTTTCTCTTGAAAATTGTGGGATCTGTAATTACTTTGGTACTTTTGAAGCATTACACCTTTTACAATAAAGCCACCAAATCTGAAGAAAAGAATACTACTAAACTATACTAAAGCAACTACAGATTTTCATATAGTTGAGGAAAACAAACACAGTAGAACCAGACCTCCCATTTAGAAATTCAAAATGGCTCAATGGATAAAACAGGAAACTAACAGTAAAAGTTTCTGTATTGCCTTACCACCCAAAGCACCACCATTTCTGATACTGAGAAATGGATTGCTAAATGCAGTTGCAGAAGAGCTGATTATCCAAAACTACAAAATGTTACAAATGAAGAAGGAAATATGAGGACTACAGCTAATATGAGACATTATTAATAAATATAACAAAACAGGGCCCATAGCAACAAAGGTGCAGTTGACCCAAGCTACTGGAAATGATGTGTTATGGTCATGATTAATATAAACTAGGAGAGGGCCAGCAATTGAAAGAATAGTACTAAAGTTCAGTAATGACCCTCATGAGGTCTCTTCCTTCAGGACCAGAGTAGTAACTATAACACACTGATGCAAAAGTGTGGAAAATTAAAGCCTGGGAAATTAAATAATCACATCAGAGCAACCTGTCCACTACTTGGGCTCTTCTCTGACTAAGGGTGGAAAACAGAATGGGGTGATGAAGGTGAATAGTCATTGCTTTTTCTACCAGTCCTGTAAGCCTAAGGAGCAGGACAGTCAGGCCACTTGCTAAAATACTATTCAGGTTATTGGAGAAGGACACAGGTGGGAAACAATCTGACCTTTCATCTTCCAGTGACTATTTTAGTGATTATTCAGTGAATTCCACAATTGTACCAGAGTGTTCAGATATTTCAGAAAATGTACACATCTAGAATAGCCCTTTCTTTTTGCCTACTAGTTCAACTTGTGTGAGTGGAAAAGCCCTGCTCTTTGATTCTATACTATGAGTGCCTGTCTCAAGTTTCTGGATGGGTTGTATGCTGTCAGTTACTCAGGTATCAGTGCTGCCAGTCAGTGAGAGGAGTTGTCACAAACCAAAGTGCCTTTTGCTAGAACGTGTCATTCATCTCAAGTAACATGGCTGTGAAGGCCAGGAGACCATGCAGTGCAGCTCACCTAATGTGCTAGCACAGCTATGCTGCTTCTGGTACCCAGTCTGATACATGATTCAGCTTTTCCTCAAAGGTTTTAGCCAGAAGAAGGGTCACAGTGCAAACTAAATAAAAACAGACAGTTTCCTTCAGGAAAAAAACCAAAACAAAACAAAACAACAACAAAAAAATAAACCTAACAAAAAAACAAACCCAAAAAAACACAACCCCAAACACTGATCAAGAAATTACATTTGTTGTTTGACAGTTTCAAAAGTTAGGGGTTTTTTTCCATAGGGTAGTGTCCATTACATTTTGCTTACTTATGGGGATATGTTATAAAAACTACAGCTGCTAATTTGCAATATATACTGACATAATGGAAAGTGGCAAACATTCACCATCTTTCCATATTCATGTTGTGTCATGTAATAGTTTTGAAATTGCGATATAACAAACAAATAAGAGATTATGGCAGTAAAATTTTACAACCTGGCTTCAATGAGAAAAAAACAAATAAATAACAGACTGAACATAAGGGACTAGGGTATTTTAAGTTTTAGATTGCTGTTTACAATACTGAAAACAGAAAAAAATGGAGCAACATTTAAATTCATTGCATTTCAGAAGCTTTTAGCTCCAGAGAACTTTAAAAGCAGTACTTTATCTTGAACTTTACTCACATTGACACTAATCTGAGTTCACATGCAACCTCATTCATCAATCTCCCTTTTAATCTTCTATTACAAAAATTGCATCCAATAAGTGTAAACAAATTACTGTCCTTTCAGGTTGGTTTTATTATATCTTATAAAACCTTTATTATTTATTTGGTTATGGAAGTTTGATTTTACAATATTTCTTTCAACTGAAACTATAGAAATATTTTCTGAAACTTGCATTTTCTCTGACTTCCTTTTAAAAAGGAATCAGTCCTTTTTCATTTTGTTCAACTAATTTTTTAAACTTTTGTGAACTCGAGCTTCATTTCTTGCAAACAATCCCACCATATACAATATGCAAATTATTCAGTAAAAAATTATATTCTACTTTTTTAAATCAGACGAATGAATTGAAAGCAAAGCAGTAATCCTAAATCAGTTCTGTATTTAACATCATAAGTACATAGAGTGACATTTTTCTGAAAACAGATATTGTGTGCAAAACTAGGGACATACTAACTCACAACAAATTCTTCTCTTTGTTAAAACATTAGACCTACATTAAACTGTTCAAGAAATGTAGTTTAAATGTCCTTCTCTTGCAGATGAAACAGACTTTAAATCATCTTTGCATAAGGTTATGGGGAGTTCAGCAGCTGCAAGGGGCTGTGGATGTTAGATTGTCACAGTTCAAAGCCACGCTGATCAGAGCCTCAGCAGTAATTTATCAATGCCCTGCTGATTCCAGGAGCGACCAGCTCAATACGCATCTCTTTTCTATGTTCATATGTCAAGATCTACAAGAGGGTTTCTAAATCAGAGTAATCCACCCTTGTCTGTACTCAGGGCATCTGCCAACAGTTTAGATAGTGTCTTTTATCTTAAACTCATTTTATTCTCTTGCTGCATAGAAAAGACTATGGTCACCCTCCTATTCACTAATGAAAGGTTCATTTGGGGATTGGGGATTTTGTCTTCCACAAGTATGTAAATGTTGCTCTGTTATACTGAAAGTCACTGCTCTAACATAAGTTTTTTTTAATAAGGTATAAAATTCTTCTCTCTCCCACTAAAGACTCCTTACTCTTCTTAAATGTTCTTTCTCTTAAGTTTCTGTTCCTGTATAGCTTATTATTGCGGCCCAACCACAGCAGCAAGCTACTAGGTGAACAAGCAGGTGCTAATTGATGCCTACAATAGTTTTTTAGGCAAATCACAAGGGACAAAAAAACCCCAAAAGAAAACAGACAGATGGTAAGGAAGAGACATGCAAGTTCAAATGTTACTGACTTAATTTAAGATTTAGAGGTAATTGTAATTAAATTAATAGCCCTGCAGTAACAATTACAACATACACCTGTCAGATTTTACTCAAAAAAAAATGCATATACATTATTCCAAAGATGACAAATGGATCAGGTTGGATTGTCACTTCATTTTACTTTATTTAGCTCTGGAGCAAAACACCGTTACATCAGGAACATCTAACAACTTTGGTGGCAACAATCCAATGTAGAGTTTGACCTACAATGATCAAGTCTGTGTACCTCAACCTTCATCATATGCTCAGAACTCCGGTGATGTCTTTCAGACTCACAATGCACATATGACCTGGAAATGTACTGCAGGTGTTGTCACTCATACATTGGATAAAGTGGAAAAATACCAAGTTGTTACCAGACTTTTTTAATTTCAAGGTAAAAATTATTTTAATGCTTCCCAATCTGTCAAAATGTTGCAGGAAGAAACTTCTGCTGAGAGTAACAAATACATTGATGCTGTCACACAAACTGGAAAAGAAATTTGTAAAAGTTTCCTGTCCTTCAGTAGTGTGTAGGTGAAGACTGTTAATCTTGAAAATTAAAAGTACTGTATTTGATGGAGTGCACAGAATAGATATGGAACTGTCTCCTGAGAGTTTCCTACCTTCGCAGTTTAAAGCACAGTTATAATCTTGCAGAGCACTCCATTTGGGCTCAAATAATCTCTTATCTTACAGCATTTCAAAATCTAACTGACTAACAATAACCTTACAGAGTTTCAGGCAGTGAACACACTCATCACCTCTTTCAACAGTAAAATGCCAAGCCAAAAATCAACTGTCAGTGCAATTTCACTCACTTCCAGGCATGCATTTGATATGCTGTAAAATGCCAGAATGGAGCTAAATTCTCCCACAATTTTTAAAGGACTAGCTTTTAATCTAGCTTTTAATATTGTAACTAAAATTTTCTTACCTTTTTCCTCATTAGTCATATAATGCTCCAAGGATCTCAAAGCACAGTTATTTTATGAAAGCCTTTAAATGGGAGGCAAACATTACATCAATATCTTAAAGCACAAGTTGCCCTCAGGCTCAAGATCTCCCTTGCTGCAATTCTGGAAGAAGATGCACCTGATTCATACCTTTTGCACTGCCATTAGGTGAGACATAGAAATGTAGAGAGCACAGACTTGCCCTGCCAAGAAGATGGCCAGATGTTGTCACAGATATGGGATATCACAGATTGTTTTATCCACTGTTAAACCTGGCAGTCAAGCAAAAAGTAAAAGGCCAGTTCAATCACTTAGATGGTCTCAATTGCATGATCCTGCAGTCCATATATGCACAAGAGTGGCACAAAACAAAGAGAAAAGAGTTCATAAATCAGACCGGCAGGTTTATTTCCACTTTGCACTTAGACTGATCACTGTAAGCATCTCCTTACACAACTAATCCTGGTTTTAATTCAGTCTGCTTCTAATATTTCTCTGCATCTTTGCATTTTTAAGCTAGAATACCCCCTTAAGAGTGCTTTACAGAAGGGTTTTAGCATTGCTTGTGATGCTCCAAAACTTTCCTTGACAATGTCTGCTGCTGTTCTTTTGTATAAGAAATTATTGCTTTATTTATGTGCTCAACATATATTTGTGTCATTTAAATACAAAGCAATAGTAAATAAGCAGAACATACCTGAACAGCAAACATTGTCTATGAAGCACAGACACTTGAAAGCTGCTAGCAGAAGTGAAAAATGAAAATGAAGATAAGCAGGTCCAGTAGAATACCTGCAAAGGACAGACAGAGCTGTTGTCAAACAAGCTGCAGTACTGAAAACACACAGAAAACAATTTCATGCAATACTTTGCATTCAGCCACTCGTATTTCTCTCATCACTCTACTGACAATAGAGCTAAATGCTTATTAACCAGTTATCACAGAAAAAAAAATGGAAAAAGTTGTTCTTGGGAAAAAAGGTGGAGGAAAATTTTATGAGAGATCATGAGCCCCAGTATGTAGCTGGTAAATTAATGCATAACCATAAATTCATACAATCCCTTTTAAAAAAATATTTCAAAATTACCACATTTGAAATGCAATAAACAAGTAATTTTCAGTACTTTAATACATATAATGAAATACTATAGTACAAGTAATTTATAGATACTTCTCTTTTGACTTCCTCCTTTTCTGATGGATCTGGATCTAAAGCCCGTAGTTACTAGCCCTGACAGTGCTGTAGCCATAAATGCAAGAGGGACATTTCACAAAACCCTTAAAACAAAGGCCAAAAGATTTGTAAAGAAATTTATCTGAAAAAAAGATCAGGATCTCACCTAAGGAATTGAATCTTCAGGATGTGTTACAGTAAAATGCCATTGGTTCTAACTGTGTGGCACTGCTTTTGATTTGCAGATTAATTACTTCTATTCCTGTAGCTGGAGCTATGTATTTGCACACCCAGACTTTTTCTGAGAATACTGAGAAATGACCTATGTGACATTTGCAGTAGGAAACTCATTTATTACATCAGGGTCCTAGAGATAAAATCTCATATTGTGAGGTAATGAATAATGTATTTTATTTAATTTAATCATCTTAAGGAAACAAATAGCAAAAAATATTAACTCCCACCATGAGAGACTGAGGGGTGAAAAATACACAGCATAGACTGAAGAGAATTATGCGTAATGAATACAATGAAAGATAAAAGGAAAGTATGAAGTTTGAGTACATGACATTACAAACATCATTTACAGAGCTTGAATTTTGACAAAGTGGACTGTAGAATATGCATATGGATTTATTTATTTTTATTAAATTAATTTTTAGACAGTGATAGCACTATAAAATAACTGTCTTGGAACACTGCAATATTATTTTGAAAGTTGCAAGGGCTCAACATGATGATAAACGTTTGAACCCCAACACAATTTTTCTCCTTGATTATATTATTACTCCTTTAAAGGAAGAGGAAAGCTTCTTCTCTTTTAAAACAATCAATTATAGTACTCTGGACTATCTTGTTCTGCATCATACCCTGCTGGGATGAGCAGGGAATGTTCTAGTCAATCATGTGTCACTTGAACCCTACAGGAAATTTCTGTCTTTATGAATGAAAGGATTAGTGAAACCAGTAAGGACACCAAGAAACACAGACAGGAGGGGAGAAATGCAATTCTCAGTAGACATAATCCACTCTTGACTCAGGACTTCAATTTGAGCTTGCAGTCCTTTCAATGAATAACATGCATTTGATAACATCCATTAGATTGTCAGCTTCTTTACTAGAAACTTTCTTTAATGGACATTTTTTCTTGTTTTGAAGAACCTATATGGATAGATTATGATGAATAGGATAAGATACAATGAACAAAGACTCCAGTTAGATGTTCTAATTTGATTAATACTTACATCACTCAATTGGAGTCCAAGGCATTTTAAAGCTATTAAAGAAGACAAATGGGTTTCTCAGGAGTCTGAGATCCTAAATGCAAGATTTTCAAGTGTACAAGTTTCTTCCTATTTTTCTGGTGATAAAATCCCACCAAACCCTTAAACTTTGAGCTGGCTGCTTTCTCAAAAATATTTTTATTTTTATTTAGATCAGCTATAGATGTATATATAAAGATATATATATTTCAGTCTTCCACCCTTTATTCCTTTCCTAAGTTTTTTCACACCCTAATTTGCAATGAATGCTTATGTTTCATACACTTTCCAATGCAGAAGTTATCACATTTTTCTGTTTCTTAACTAGCTTTAAATGTAAATCAACACTGATGCATTAGAATAAGAACCCCTGGACAGAAAAGCAGGCAAGTGGTCTACCTCAAGCCCCCAGTGTGACATTGGAAGGCCAACCCTGTCCCGAGGTGCATCAGGCACAGCATCACCAGCTGGGCAAGGAAGGGGATTGTCCTGCTCTGCCCTGCACTCAGGTGGCCTCACCTAAAGTCCTATGTACATGTTTGGGTGCCACAACATAAGACACTAAACTTGGAGAATGTCCAAAGGAGGGCAACAAAGATAGTGAAGGGCCTTGAGGAGTGGCTGAGGTCACTTGTTCTGTTCAGCCTGGAGAAAAGGGGACTGAGGGGAGACCTCATTGCAGCCTACAACTGAGAGTCTACAGAAGGCTGAGTGGCAGGCACTGATCTCCTCTCTGTGGCGACCAGTGACAGGAACAAAGGGACAAAGCCTGAAGCTGTGTCAGGGCAAGTTTAGGTTGTATATTAGAACAAGATTCTTCACCCAGAGGGTGGCTGGGCACTGGAACTGGTTCCCTGAGGAAGCGATCACAGGACCAAGCCTGATGGAGCTCAAGGAGTGTTCAGACAATGATCTCAGGCACCTGGTGTGACTCTTGACGATGGTACTGTGCAGGCTTGGGATTTGGACATGAGGATCCTTGTGGGTCAGCTTATTCTGTGATTCTGTAATTAATAGTGCCAGTAGTGCCTATAAGCCACATCCTCTTTAAGTAAGATTTATTAAAGATCTGTTAATCTTATATTTTACACCAATAAATATCAGGTTTGGCTAAAAAATAATAATAATAAAAAAGTCTTCTTTCATGTTATTTATTCTGTAGAACAGTTTATGAACCTTTTTGATTTTTTTACTATCCATCTCATTATCATCTTTCCATCATCTGGCTTTCATTCTTTATCCAACATAATTATAGCCAATTATTAATACCTTGTTATTTGAAAAGGAGTTTCCACTTTATTCCCACCATTAATTCTCTCTTGTACTCTCACATGCATACTCAGATATGTTTATAAAGACGTGAATAGGATGTGAAGAAACTACTGTTAGATGCACCCAGTAGATTTTTAGGCTCCCTTATAGCCAACTCCTATGGAATACAGAGAAAAGCTCCAGGAGAATTTATAGTCTTCATTTGAAATCTGTAAGAAGCAATAAGCTACTAATCAGAAAGTTCCAAATAATAACCACCATCAGAGTACACAGAGTGATTCAGACCCTAAAGAACAGGGAATAAACCAAGCCTCCACAATCAAGTACTGACCCCAAAAGGTCCACAATTTCTCACTCACTAGGAAATTGTGCATCAAATTTTAGACACAAAACAACAATTTTCTTCAATAAAGGAGTGGGAGACACAGAGTATCACAAATACCCCAGGTTTCTCAAACTGCTATTATTTTCTATTACATTTTAAAAGATTTCCCTCAAGGCTTCTTGTTTTCATTATTAGTATCTCATTGTATTCCCAAGTGCATAAGAATTTAGGCTGGCTTCATAACATGTTTCTCAGAGTTTCTTCTTTTTTTTTCTTGAGCATTTGAAATATAAGCACAGCTAAAATTGTAAATCCCTTCCTCCACCATGCTCTGGCAGTACCTCAGTGAGAGAAATAGAGGAAAGATGTCTGGTTATCAAGAGAGAAAGGAACTACAGTAATCCAGCTGGATATAAGGGCTGTAGCAATGAGGTGCAACAATGCTGGCAAAGGTGTGCAGAATGTGTAAAAGTTGACAGCTCTTCTATCAGTGCTTAAGGAGCAGGAAGGCAGCTACTGGAAGTATGGGCATTGGATAGCACATCTGTAGTGCAGAAAAACAGCTATGCAGTTAAAGCAGGAAAGAAAGTTCATTATATAAGAAAATCAAATCTACCAAAGGAAGGTGAAAAAATGGGAAGGAGAAACATCACAATATAGAAAGAGTCAACAAAAGTTAGGAATCCGCATATCACAAAAAAATTTCTATCAATTGAGCTTTATTCCTACAGAGACCATTAGAAGCTTTGATCCAAACAGATCAGAAATCATACATTTTGGATGAGATCCTCATCATTTGTCATTATTTGCTAAATATGCAAATTGAGGAGTCTAATAATTATATTTTTTACAGATTCACCCTGGTGTTGCTTATCTTAATATTGGTTTTGATAGCACATTTGAAGTATGTCAAAGGAATGAAAACTGGAGATTTCTTAAACAGCTACCAATTTGTTCATATGCAAATTAAATACTTAAAAAAAAGCTTCTATCTGAAAAACAAAATACCATGACTGATAAACTGGTAGTGTTAATTCAGTAACCTTTGGATTTCAGCAGGAAAATTACTCTTTCTAAATGTGAAGTCCACCTTCTGTCACACAATGGATAGAAAGAAAAAATATTCAGACAGAAGAAATTAGAGTTACTTATCCATCCCTGACAGCACCTATGTGTTAAGTTGATTTTAGCATTTGTCAAAAGAATGAAAATAGGATGGTACCATTCTCCAAAGCTGATGATCTGAAAACTACTAGTGGATCTCCCTGGCTGATCACCCAAGACATAAATACACTCTAAAAAATAATTTTTCAAATATAAGTGGACCTTAAAGAACAGACTGCAATGACTTACACCAGAGACTGTAAAAAGAAATACGTGCTTATTTTGCTGAGCTTTATGAATTACTAAAAGGATGAATGTACTATAATTACATGGATTTACATTAAACCAATACCTTATAATAAGAACAGGACAGAGCAGAATATTCCCCATGTTTCTGTTGTCCACAGAGTAATTTTTGTGGCAATCTGATAATGATGTACTAGTGATTTTCCCCCTTATCTCTACCTGCTTTTAAAAACTTACATGTTGCTTTATTTATATTAGTACTCAATTATAATTGCACATGTAGTAATATCAACTGGTACCTGAGATGATCTTTCTACTAAGATGGAATCTACATTAGAAAAGATTTGAAGCCACTTTTGCTAAGAGTGTGCAACACCATGGCAAAAGAATAAAACCCCAAAGACTCCTGGCAATCCAGGACACCACTCTATCTGTAGGTTTCTGTATCCTGTAAGCAACTATAAGGTGTTCTTTGGTAAATCATATTTTCACAGGACTGTCGACAAATAAGAGCTTATTTTTGCTTAAGCCCTTGTCTGTGGTAATTAACTGTG